TTAGTGAATTGATACACACTGTTGTGTACAGTAATGTTGTAACAAACAAACTTTCTTTCCATGTTTAATATTCAGTGTTGGCACGTTGAAGTTAACCAAGCTTGTCATACAAAAAAATGTTCACTCTGGCTCAAAAACATTCTCTATTACTTGTATAGGATGTAGGAATGTTTTGTGCTCTTAGCCCTCTGGATACCATTTAAAAATTTTTTATTTTTTTTAATGTAACTCTTTAAAGATGATACTACCCAACCGATTATAATTTGTGGTTTATACGGCTTAGTATAAAGAGGAAAATGTATTCATACTTACCATAATTTTACTTTCCTGGCTATTATTCATGGCAGCATATACATATGGGTTAGCTCCTCCCCTTACAGTCGATAGGACAGGAATAAAACAAAAACTTTAAAAGAAGTATCCCTGCATAGGTCCCTCAGTCAGTAACAAACTCCTACAGAAGAAGCAAACCAACAGTGGGTGGGGAGTATGTGCTGCCATGAATAGTAGCCAAGAAAAAAAAAATTACAGTCAGTATGAATAAATGTTCCTATTTCCTGGCTAATCATGGCAGCATATACATATGGGATTACCCAAGCTTACCAGGGAGGGACAGAAACATACATAACTGGCAATCAAACAATTCAACATAGATTAGAAGATTGAACTGAGTTAAGGATGAGGTGTCCAAATTGCGCCTCATTGATTGCTTCAATGTCCAGTATGTAATGCTGGACAAACGAGTTCAAAGAGGTTCAAATACCAACTTTACAAAGTTTAAGCAGAGACCATTGCCATGGAAGCCCACGATGCTGCAACTGCACTAGTGGAGATTTCCCCGAAATCCTTTGGTACAGGTAGAGAATGGCATTGAAAAGCTTTCACTTTAGGTAGGATCTCTGGTGCTAAATGCAAGACAACCATATCCTGTAGAAATTAAGTGAATGGGGGTACACAGGATGTACCTGTGTAGCCTGGAGTTCACCCATTCACCTTGCTTAGGTACCAGCCACCAGCAACAGCACCATCTGTGCCAACATCATGGAAGCTCCTGCTAGAGGGTCAAATGATGGTTTAGTCAGAGCCTGTAAGAACAGTGGTAGGTCACAAATGGACTTCAACACCCTCAGTGAAGGCTTGAGTTTAATTGCTGCTTACATCATGAAGTAAAGCACAAGGGGCTCCAATACTCAATGGGTATCCTTCAGTACAGGTAGAGAATGATCTTGATAAGCATTCACTTTAGGCAGGACCTCTGGTGCTAAATAGAAGGCAACCATATCCTGCTGAAAATTAGTGAATGGAGGTACACAGGATCAAGCCTGGAGTTCACACGTTCACCTTGCTGAGGTACCAGCCACCAGCAACAGCACTTTCTGTGCTGACACCATGGAAGCTCCTGATAGAGGTTTGACTGGTGGTTTAGTCAGAGCCTGTAAAACCAGAGGTAGGTCACATAAGGACTTTAACACCCGGCTTGAATTTAATTGCTGCTTGCATGAAGCAAAGCACCAGGGGTTCCAATGCTCATTGGGTACCCATCTATGTGGAAAGTGCCAATCTGTGTTCCTCTAGAGTGTTATAATTCCGACCATATTAAGACCTGATTGAGGAGTAATTCCAACCTCTATTCTTGAGACCAACAGACAAATGCATGCCAAGTTTGTAATCTGTAAAGTATTTATGGGACTGTAAGAGGATCTTAATGACCGTCTCAGGGATGCCTATACATCTAGATACACCAGCCTCAACACCAGAGCTTAAGGATCTTGGTGTGTCAAGGGACATTGTAATAATAGGTCTAGACATACTGGAATTTCCCTTGGAGGTTTCAGATTCATCTTACTCATCATAGGAATTCTTGGCCATAGAGTCTTCTTGGCCTTCCACTGTCTCCTTTGAAGACAGGAAAAATATGTACACCAGACTGAGAATCCAAATTTGAGTTAGAGTAACCTGACCTTGAGCATTCTGGTCCTAAAAACAAGAAAAAAAAAAGCTTCTGGATCAGATAGTTCTGAGAAGTGGCCATCAGATCTACATAGGGTATCAGCCAAATCTGAGTCATTCCACCTTGACCACTGTTATTTGGCTCAGGTAATCAGCCATTGTATTCTGAGCCCCTGTTTGTTCTCCTGTGCCATGCTCATCATGGGCTGTAATTGCCTCATCAATAAGTGTCTGTGAGACCCACCTTGACTATTGATATAGGATACATTTGCATTGATATTTGAGAAATGTGGACCCACTTGTTCTTCAGCAACCTTATGAAGTGAAGATGAACCCTGAAAATGACTCATAATTCCATAATATTGTATGGAAATATTGTTCCTTCCCTTATCCACAGATCGTGTGTAACATGGTCCAGGCAATGTGTATCCAATCCTTGAAAACTGGAATCAGAGCTTATAATTGCCAATGAAGTTCTGTGCATAGGAAACCCAGAGACATATTCTCTCTTTCAGCTACCAGGTAAGGTGTAACTCCACTAATGGTGACATCGTCAGTGGCTGGCTCCAATTCATCTTTCTCTTGTTGAACTGAGATAGGAAGGACCTTTGAGGAATCCAGAGATGCCCATTAAGTCCATCTGACATGTCTGATGGTGGAAGCCAGGATTCCTAGTAGTTGCATCTACTTTCTTGCTGTTACCAAGTGAAAATGAAGAAACTGGGAGAGAAAACTTCCACCATATGTGCAACTGTTCCTGAGATATGGGAAAGCGGAGTATAGAATACTCCACCTAGAAAAGTCATCCTCTGAGCTGGCGTGAGACTGCTCTTGTTGGTATTCATCAAGCAGCCAAACTTCTGGCGTTCTGAAAGAACTCTATCCCTCTGTGTGCCTGTCTTCTGTGGGTTTGAAGTTACCAGCAGTTGATCATCCAGATAATGGAACCAGGTGGGGTTCTGGACTCTCAATATCACTATAAGCACACATAAGGTTCTTGGGGCAGCATTGAGGCCAAATGGTAGGGCACTAATTAAAAGTTCTCTTCTGAGATAATGCTGAAGATCTAGGACTTTTGGAATGATGGTAAGCATCTTTGAGATATATAGAGATAAGGAACTTGTCCTTCCAAATTGCTGGGGATATGGATTTGATTTACTCCATCCCGAAGGCTCTGTCATTCAGCCTCTTGTTGGCCCTTCTTAGGTCCAGTATAGACTTCCATGTGCTTTTACTTTTAGCATCAGAAGACAGGGGAACATTGTCCCAAGAACTGCTCTTGTTAAGGGACCTAAGAAAGCACATCTTGGTCCAGAAGGTTTCATACATATTTCTTCAGTGCTATCCTTTGATTCATCTGTCTGAATTCTCTTGTTGATATAGAGACTCTCGAAATACAAATACCTTGCAACTCTCAGCTGCCTTTTAATGGATTTATCAAAAGCTTTCTAAAACAACAGCTCCCCTTCATATAGAATGGTGTAGAGGGTAGAATTAGAGGCTGAGTCATCATCCCAGAAGCAGAACCATAATGCTTTCCCAGCTGCTATAGATAAAGCAATTTGTTCGAGAGAATATCCTAGTTACATCTAAGGAAGCTTCTATGAAGAAGCCACTTGTAACCTGAAGACTCCAGACTGCATCTTCAATCTTGGCTCTTAATATCTATCCACAGTAGCATTAAGATCTTTAAACACTCTTTTCATGGTTCTAGAAACAGCAGTGAAAACTACAGCTGGATGACAACCTGCATCAGCAGGCGTCTAAATTTGGACAGGTCTGCGGCCACTTTTGATCCTTAGGCTTGCAGAAAAAAAAAAAAAAAACAGTTGTCAAGCGGTAGTATCGTCCCACGTGTCATGTGGCTGTACCAGTATAGGTGATGCTGAAGCAGCTACCTTATAGAGACAGTCAGAGCATAACTGTTTTTCTTACACTGCTCTTTCATTAGAACCAAAACATGGTGTAGATTCAGAAAAGACCTTGCAACTTAATTTGTAAGCTTTGGCAGCATGTCCTGTGGCTGTGCAGTTATAGGTGAAGCTGATGAGGTTACCTTCTGAAGACAGGCAATGCATAAGAGTTTTCCTACC